ATCTGTTCAGAGGATTCAGAAGAGGATTCAGTTTGGTGTTTGCGCGCCGTCTGAAACGCTTGTGTGCGCTTCATGTGTGTGCGGCTGTGCGCTTAGAGAACAGCGCATGAGTAACGAATTCGAGTTCCCTTTCGCCTTTTCTCTCTGGAATTGTTTAAAATTTGCTTGCTTGTGTAACAGAATATATACTGTATACATAAACACATTTTTTGCAATGATCACTCAAATGTGGTGATCAAACACTTATAATGACGTGACAAAAAAAACAATTTAACAATAAACTGTTATCCAAAATGAGTCTGACATCAGTGCACTGAACAGTAAAGCTGCAGTTTATTAAACTTTATTTCAATTCAGTTCCATTCAACTTTATTCCATTGAAGTTAGTGGTTCAACGGATCACAAATCTCACGGTTCGGATCACATTACGGTTTTTGACCCACGGATCGGATCATTTTTCGGCTCAGCAAGAAAAGAAAAATATTTCAATTTAACTTGCTTTCCATTTATTACTTAAAGCGAAGTACTTCTTTGATACCACAGCAAATACTACTAGATTAACTAAGAAAGTTTAAACATGAGAGACAAGAGAACAGCCAGTAAAAATAAGAACAAATACACAAATTACAAGCATAGATAAATACAACAGAATATGTTACAAATAAAATAAGGTTGGTAGTATTCAAATGCAGAAATGTAATAATTAGGGAAAATAACACTGCATAGTGTTCACTGTATAAATTTAATATAGATTTTTATCACCTCTGTTTTGTTGTTTGATGATCATTTATGACAGCAGCAGTATTTATAGGCCACTGTCCCTTTAAGACCTGATGCACGGATCCGATATAATGATACACTTCACATCCGATTTCTTTCTCAGCTGTTTTCATTCACTTGAGACATAACTGACTGCGCTTACCTGAATGATTGTCGAGATGGGTATTCTGTCAATTTTATGTGTGTGTGTTTGTTCAGAGGATTCAGAAGAGGATTCAGTTCGGTGTTCGCGCGCCATCTGTGCGTGCTTTATGTGTGTGCGGCTGTGCACGTAGAGAACAGCGTGCAAGTAACTAATCGAGTTCCCTTTCGCCTTTTCTCTCTGGAATTGTTTAAAATTTGCTTGCTTGTGTAAATACGAACAAATGATAAACTTATACTCTACTATGGTTACATTTAGCAATTAATCCGCGGATCATATGCGTGCCGAACCGTGGGGCTTGGTCCGTACGGATCACGGATCAACTACGATCCGTTTAACCACTAATTGAAGTTTATTTCACTTCGTAACATTCATTCACGGATTTGCGCTACTGTCTTCACACACAGACGAAACTTACTAGAGAAGTGTGACATAATATACCTCTTTAAATAAATACAATTTAAATTCCTGTCTCACGCACTTTAATGCCCTTTGAATGTAACGTGTACGTTCCCTTGGAACTGGAATCATGGCGGAATATCATGTGAAGTCCACTTCGCAGGGCACTTACGGTCGAATAAGACAACGTTTGAATGTTGCTGACTGAACAAGAGACCTCCTTTATTGAAGTGAAAATGTTGGCTGGTGTCACTATTTCGCGAACGCGGCGGCAGATCGCCACCAAATTCGGGGGATCCCTTCAGCTCGAGGAGCCCTCTCGAACGCCACCCTCCGCGCGTCGGTAGCCCCCCGGGGATCGCCAGATTGGTCGGCGCCCGACCGCGTATTTAACCACCCATATCGACGCAGGGGTAATCACATTCGAAAGGGGGCCTCGAGACGTACACTCGATTCGGCGTTCTAGAGGGTTCCTTGAGCTGAAGTGATCCCCCGAATTTGGTGCGGATCCGCCGCGCCGTTACGGAGATATGGCTATTCAAAGTTTCAATGGTATTCCATACACGCTTTAAAATGTTTCATCCAGATCGCCAGTAGCAAACAATGGAGCGTGCTCTGCTGGACAAACTATGTAATTACACCATTTACAAGCATTTTATCTGCGTTTTATGTTCTGTAAAAAAAATTTCATATCGGTGGCATATTCGCCGATACCGATATATCTGCGACAGGCTCATATCGGCCGATTAAAATCGGCAAAACGATATATCGGTCGGGCTCTACTCATTAGGCAGTAATTCCTCACAGAAAACACACTGTAGACGACAGAGACCATTATTTTCAATGCAACTGCAAGTATACCTAGTATTTAGTGTCCTAGTCATATTTTTGTACCTGTTGTTTTGTTCAAAATTTTCAAGAATGAGGGTGTCACAGCTCCTGTCTAATTTAGCTAGATTTTACCAAGTGACAGATTATTTTGGTCCTAAATATCATAGGTTTTGATTTGACACATGGTTTTGTATAATAACAAAATGTTATGTAATGTTTTGTTTAATAACTCCTCTCTTATAAAAAGTATGCTTATTGAAAAAGATAAGCCTTTTTATTTTGTTATTCTAACTATGCTGGATTATATAGTTATTATTTGCATTTATCATCATTTTTCCCCCTACTCTCCGAGACCCATTTTTGGGTTGTGATACACACTAATCTAAAAGTTCTACAGATCTAAAAATTCACCTTCTCATGTTTCACTTATATTCACACATATTCCCATCTCTCTCTCTCTCTCTCTCTCTCTCTCTCTCTCGCTCTCAATAATTGTTGTGTAGTTGGTCACTCTTCAGGAGGCCAAGCTGCTGCTAAATGAAGATGACTACCTGTTGAAGTCAGTGTATGACTACTGGGTGAGGAAGAGGAAGAACTGCCGGGGCCCATCGCTCATCCCTCAGATCAAGCAGGAGAAGAGGGATGGCTCCACCACCAACGATGCTTACGTGGCCTTCAGGCGCCGCACAGAGAAGATGCAGACTAGGAAGGTATGCATGTGCTCTGTGTTTTGTCATGCATGCCTCGAACAGTAATGTTAGAGGGCATTCAGACAAGACTTGTTCTTACTTTCCAAAAGCAGCGTTTTTTAATATGTTTGCACGACAAACTGGCATCCTTATGTCACATCTATTTTATATTAATAGTATTATTTTATAGTATAATAATAGTATTATTTTTTATTTACATCAGCTTTTTGAAGACATCTGCATTCAGTTCTAGCTTTTCCTAGCTAAAATTAAGTGGGTGACCCATACAGATTTTTAAATGCCAAATATGTAGTATATTTGTTTTGTACAGCACGTTTCTTAATTCATACATTTTCACCTCAATAGAACAGTGAGTTGGATATAGACTTGACACCTACTGGAACTGTCTGTCTATGTGTCTTGCACTCTCTGTAGAATCGCAAGAATGACGAGGTGTCTTATGAGAAGATGCTGAAGCTGAGGAGAGAATTCAGCCGAACCATGAGCATCCTGGAGATGATCAAGAAGAGAGAAAAGAGCAAACGAGAGCTGCTGCATCTGACGCTAGAAGTGTTTGAGAAAAGGTGTATGAACGTTGCTCTTTTTATAAAGCTGCTTTGAGATGATTTCTGTTGTTACATGCACTAAATAGATAAAGCTGTGTTTTGTGTCACTTAAAGGGGTCCTGTTATGCTCTTTTACATAGTCTTGATTTTGTTTTGGGGGTGTACTAGAACATGCTCTCATGCTTGGTGGTTTGAAAAACGCATTATTTTTCACATAATTTACATTATTAAAATACCTTTCTCCCCAGGCTGGCACAAACGGCTCGATTAGTTCCGGCTTTGATGAAGGTCCACCTTCCGAAAAACAAAATGTGTTGTGATTGGTTAGCTGTCCCAGTGCATTGTGATTGGCGAACAGCTTAGACTGTGTTTCAGTACTGCCCTGCCCCTTGCCAAAGCAGCAAGTTCCGTCTGCTCCGGTATAGTTAAGGATGGCGTCAAT